GTAATGACGTAACCATCCCCCCCGACGTGAGCTGATGTGACCAGCCAATCAGCTGTAAGGGGGATTAGGATGGGATACAACACCCTTACTCAGGTCACAGCCCTGATCTCCCATAAGGGAAGTTTCCCTGGAGTGTGGCCTGTATCCCTTTTATCTTACAAGAAGAGGAAGGTTAACCAAGCAGAGACCTCAGTCCCACCAAGAAAGAAGAGTGGGGGGGGGGGGCACAACACGTCCTTGGGACCCAGGATCTCTGCACTGAAAACCTCCTAGACCCAGAGGAAGACTGATGCCAAGACACAGGGAGATCGTCAAAAAAACACCAAGCCCACAGATGCTGAAAAGAGACAAAGATCTTTCTCCAGAGCCAACAGAGAGAAAAAGCCAAGCCCTGGAGCTGGTGTCCTGAACTGAGAGAATAAATTTGTTCATCAAAGTCATCCATTTGTATCATTTCTGTTATAGCAGCACTATGGAACTAAGACAGGAGGACATTACCATTCTCTGTTCCCACGATTCAAGAGAAGTCTAGGCCCAAGCTGCTCCTGACGCTAAGCCGCTGCATTTCCCAGCACCTCCGTCAGGTGCACACTGCAACTAGAGCAGACAACGCTACAGTCAAACCCTGGGGTCAGCTCCTTCTCTGCCTCTTCCTACTGTGCATCCTTGGACAAGGGACGTATTGTTCTGTGCCAATTCTTCTATCCATAAAGTGGAGATAATAATCCCAACTAAGTTGGAGAGAAAGAAAATGCACAGCAGATTAAATCTTTCTCTTTACATAACTACTCTGGCAAAGAAATTCCTACTCTTTAGCTTTAAAATATCCAGGAAGAAAGCAGCATCTCCACTGCACAGATCATTGCAATTCACTCACGGCATAGCTGGGCCGAGCAGTTCCACACATCAAACTCCTCCTACTGTGTTCCCCCAGACTGGCCGGTATTATCACAGTTAGTGCAAAAGGTAACTGTCATTAATCAACTGTAAGGAGCAATTTGAAATCTCTCTTAAAATTAAACAAATTCTTCCCAAATGAAAGTTCTTCAAGTTGTATGAAAAAGAACCCTAAAATGTTTCACTTTAGGAAAGACACAAAAAATTATTGGTTCTCTTTGAGTTAGTCTCACAGAAATTATCTTTTTTCTACCTTAGAATTAAAAGAGAACACTTTCATTAAGATGTTAACATTTCGTAATTAATGGAATAATTCATTAATAATGAATCATTTTCTTTTTTCCTTTTTTATGCAAGTATCAAAAAGAAGCCCAGTGTCACTAAACTTTTATTTTTGTGTCATAAACACAATGGTTATTCTTCCACTAATGACAGCTCCTTGGTGGCACAGTGGTTAGGTTCTTGGCTGCTAACTCAAAGGTCAGCAGTTGGAATTCACCAGCCATTCCACACTCCGTAAAACCAAGATGTGGCAGTCTGTTACCATAGAGATTACAGTTTTGGAAACTCTGAGGCAGTTCTACTCTGCCCTACAGGGTCACTAAATCGACTCAACAGCAGCAGGTAACCTTCCATTTTAAAGACACTGCCCTGCCTTTTGCTTCCCCCCCACCCCCCTCAGTCTTCCCTCACTGTCCTCACTCCTTGTCAATACCACCTCTTGGGAAACAAGCACAGCGCAGGGGACTACTCATCAGAGCGCTGGCTCCTGTTCTGCGCTCACGGCTGAAATTAACGGTCATAACCTCCCGTTCAGTCATCTACCAGTCAGACTACCAAGAGAGATAAAAATGACTTTAACTTACAACAAAGGGAAACTGGTCCAGCCTTTAAATGAATTGTTACCTAGTAGTTCAAAGGCTGAATTTCTCTGGATACCTAAGAGCAAGATACATGAACCAGGAGTCTTGTAACAATAAACGGTGCTTCTGTGACACCAGCGCTCACGTCTTAGAAAGAGCGGAGGTCATTTTCTACAACAGGGATTCAAAAACCCTAACACTAAGAAGTCTTGTTTACTTAAAGATATAAGAAATGTCCAACTTTAAATTAAGAAAAGAAAGAAGATGCCAATTTGTATCACTGCTCTCAAGCATCCAACCATACAGCTATGGGAACAAAGGTTAACGCAGAGTCAGGGCTTTGACAGCTCTGAAGTAACCACCAGTTAGCAGGGTCTACATCCAGGCACACGGCACTGATGCCGACAGCTAACTGTAAAGAGTCGTCTTGTAACTCAAAGGCACAAGAACTTACTTTCTATTACATAGCTCATCAATGGGTAAGGGAGCCCCTATCTTTGGTTTTCTTCCCTCCCTGAGGCTTCCCCAATGATTACATCCATCAACTCCTTTTCCCTTAATCATAAAAGAGAGAAAAAAGCAGGATAGCAAGAGCTTAGTGTCCGAAGAACCTCAACCCTCCAAATAAAAGGACTCTAATTGGCAACTCTTCATTAATTGTGGCTTTCTCCCTTGCAAAAGTTAACTTTGGATTTCTGGGAAGAGCTGGATACAGACCAAGTCCCATTATCAGTTAAAGTACAAGTTGCCGTGGTTGTGCAAGGACTGGGCAATGCAGAATTATGCTTCAAGTTTGAAGCCAGAACCCACTGTCACCAAACCATTTCTCTGTTAGAGTGCCAACTCCTGTCTTGAAAGGACTAGCCCTTCACAGTTAAGGCTCAAACTCTACAGGTGTATAATTTAAAGCAGTATTTCTCTAAGGCTGGCTTCCTTTCCCACCTGTACAACAGCCTTCTGACTGCACAGGAAAATTCTCTCCAGTGTATACACTGGCGTATTTTTCAGAAAATCAAAACTTACAGAAAATTTTGGGAGCCCTTTGTGCCCCATCCCTCCCCCACAGAACATCTTTTAAAACATAATGAAAAAGTAAAATACTTCAGAATCAGTTTCCGCAAAGACACACATTATATAGTCTTCCAACTTCAAGTTTCTCTTATTTGTTCAGTTAAATATGTGAATTAAAGCAACAAAATATATTTAAGGACAACTGAAGGAGCTCTGGTGGCACAGTGGTTAAAGCATTTGTCTGCTGACCAAAAGGTTGGCAGCTGGAACCCACCAGCCACTCCGTGAGAGAAAGATGAGGCAGTCTGTTTCCTTGAAGATTTACAGCCTTGGAAACCCTGCAGGGCAGTTCTACTTTGTTCTGTTACATCACCGCAAGTTGGAATCGACTCTGTTACAGTGGGTTTTTTGGTTTAAGGACAACTGATGGTTTTAAAACTATCAGAAAGCTTTTCTAAAGGTCTATGAGGCATCAGGATTGGAGGAAGATTCAGTAACAACCTGCAAAATGCAGGTCACACAACCTTGCTTGCTGAAAGTGAAGACGACTTCAAGCACTTACTGATGAAGAGTAAAGACTATAGTCTGCAGTACAGATTACACCTCAACACAAAGAAAATGAAAATCCTCACAACTGGACCAATAAGCAGCATCATGATAAATGGAGGAAAGATTGAAGTTATCAAAGATTTCATATTTCTTGGATCCACAATCAACACCCATGGAAGTAGCAATCAAGACATTAAATGCTGTACTGTACTCGGCAAATAAATTTGCTGCAAAAGACCTCTTTAAAGTGTTAAGAAGCAAAGATGTCTCTTTGAAGACTAAGGTATGCCTAACCTAAGCCATGGTACTTTCAATCATCTGATATGCATGTGAGAGCTGGACAACGAATAAGGAAGAAGGAAAGAAGAAGAGCTGATGCTTTTTTGCATTGTAATGTTCACGAAGAACACTAAAAATACTATGGACTGCCAGAAGAACGGACAAATCTGTCCTAGAGGAAGTGCAGCCGGAATGCTCCCTGGAAGCGAGAAGGCCAGACTTTGTGCGACCTACTTTGGTCATGTTGTCAGAAGGAACCATTCTCTGGAAAGGGATATCATGCTTGGTAAAGTGGAGGGTCAGCAAAAAAGGGGAAGACCCTCAATGAGACGGACTGACATACTGGCTCCAACGATGGGCTCAAGTGTAGCGAGGAGTGTAAGGATGATGCATGACTGGGCAGTGTTTCATTCTGATGTACACAGCATCGCTGTGAATCAAAGCCAACTCAATGGCACCTAACACCACCATGAAGCTTCTAACAAACACAAAATGAGGGACGTGTATGAATACGGGAGCCCTGGTGGCACAGTGGTTAAGCACTTGGATGCTAACCAAAAGTCAAGCAGTCTGAATCCACCAGCCACTCCATGGTGTGCCTGACCCAAGCCATGGTATTTTCAATTGCCTCACATGCATGCAAAAGCTGGACAATGAATAAGAGTGATCAAAGAAGAATTGACACACTTGAATTATGGTGTTGGCAAAGAATACTAAATATGCCATGGACTACCAGAAGAGTAAATAAAGCTGTCTCGGAAGAAGTACAGCTGGAATGCTCCTTCGAAGCGAGGACTGGGGAGACACTGTCTCACGTACTGTGGTCATGTTATCAGGAAGACCAATCCTTGGAGAAGGACATCATGCTTGGTAAAGTGGCAGGTCAGCGAAAAAGGGGACGATGCTCCATGAGACGGACTGACACAGTGGCTGCAACAACGGGCTCAAACACCGCAATGACTGTGATGGCACAGGACTGGGCAGTGTCCTGCTCTATGGCACATGGGTCACTATGAGTCGAAAGCGACGTGAAGGCACACACAACAACAGCTGCTCCACTGGAGAAGGATGTGGCAGTCTGCGTGCACAAAGACAACAGCCTTGGAAATCCTATGGGGCAGTTCTGTTCTGTCCTACAGGGTTGCTGCGAGTCAGAATCCACTCAATGGCAACAGGTTTGATTTGGTTTTGTGTATGAATATGGGCAGACATACACTGTTGTACTGAACGAGAGGGCTGACAGGCTCCTCAAAGGGGCCACGACTCAGGAAAAAAATAAAAAAAGGCACTTAAAAATCACTCTTTATTCTTTCAATAAAGTTACTTCAGTTGTGTTGTCAGAAACGGAATTATTTAGCTCAGGTAACAAATAACTAGATGCAGTGTGACCACACGTCCTACCTCTGTGTCCCAGGAATCTTGAAAGACAGGGTTCCTACTACTCCTTTTGGTCTGGGGAGGAAGATGGGTGTCCTCTTCATTGCCATTCCTTCTCCTTTTCCTGGAATCAAATCAGAAGGAAAAAGAGAAATCCAACAATTGCTCTGTGAACGCGCAAACTGTAATCACATCAACAATACATAAATGTGCACTCTTGCTGTGAAAATATAATTCACCTAGATTCCTCAAGAGCTTACAAGTCAAAGTACTCTATCGTTAGGTAAAAAGCACAAAAACAGAAAACAGCAATAGCAAACAGTGTGGGAGACGAATTTTTAAAAAGAAGCTTAATGATCTTAAATGTCTCTGGGACCAGGATAAGACCAAGAAGAGGTTAATGATGAAGCTTCCAGACTCTCTCTTTCCTGTAATTAATTACAATTCGTGCTACCGAAGTCTATTCCTTTCCCCAAGATAACATTCATGAGAAGTGTGGCTGCTTTTGACTAATTATCCTTAAAATTCTTATAAAAATGGGGCAACTCGGTAATATCGTCAGATGTTCCTGGTACCCTCTAAACTTTGGTACTCTCTTATCCCTAATAATTCCTCAATTATCACATTCAACCAAAGCTCCACATTCTCCAGAGTATTCAATTTTTCTGGACAATCACTGGAAAGGCTGTTCTTGGACATATTGCCCAATTAGTCTTGCTACACTAGCTAGCTAGCATTACGATTTAACAGTTACTTACTTTGAGAGGCCAGCACAAGGCACTTAAAGAAAAATTGCATCTGCCGCTCAGTCAACTGTTGTCAGCTACGCAAGACAAAATCTGAGTGTACTCTACGCAAATCAAGATGCTGTCAGAAGGCCTTCTAAGCCCCAGTCAGAAAATAGAACCATATTACCAAAAAAACCAAACTCACTGCTGTCGTTGGTCTCAACTCATAGTGACCCTTTCCTTGGGTTTCCCAGGTGCTATCTCTACAGAAGTAGATTGCCCAACCTTCCTTCCGAGGAGGGCCTTCCGGTTAGCTGTCAAATGCCTTAGGCACTA